GCTTGTTAGGTTTTCAGGCTTTTTCCTGTTAAAATGGGAACAACAACCCCTAAGTCATGGAGTTCTAGAAAAGATCATCTGAGATAATAGATATCAGTCTTTGCAAATGGTATAGGGCTTGATAAACGTAAATGGTTCTTACTTCAGTGGTCTTCATGGCATTCTAAGATTTACTGAACAGGCCTGGGGTGGGCAAGCAGGCTCCCTATCTGGGACATTTGTTGCCACTGGGCCTCAGAGCCAATTTTCTCTCTGTAGCTGGACTCTTAGGTGGTGAGTCTGGCCATGAGACAGGTATTTGTAAACGTAGACTGTCAGGTCAGCAGATCTGGATTTGAATCCCAGATCTCTCCTTTCCTAGCTGTGTGAACAAATTGTTTTAACCCATCAGGCTCAGTTTCTTCATCTGTAAAACAGGGAAAATAATTGTATCTATATTCAAGTGTTACTATGAGATTTATATGAGCTAATTAAACATTTATCCCAGGGCCTAGCACATGGTGAGTGCTCAATAAATGTAATAAATAGGTTGGGTTGAGGGAAAAGTCTTATTACAGTTTAGAATTTGTCCTAGGTGGAAAGTTTCACACCCTGCATAGCCTTTCCACAAGACCTTATAAACCTTTTTTAATCAATTTCATGAGCCGGGAATTTAAGGGATAGGCTTCCCTGACTCTTTGACTGAGACTCTCCTAAAAAAAAATCACAAAAGGGAAATATAGAAAAAATGGAGCCGTGCTCGACAGTCTGCACCATAGACTGTCTTCCCTGCCCCTCACTGCAGCTGTCTTCTGCAGCTGAAGAAGAAATGGTCCTGGCCATTTTGAAGATTTTCTGAAGGTTCTAGAAAGAATCAGTAAAAATAAATTCCCTAAAATGCCATAGAGGAATGCTTGATTAAGCAAAGCTCTTTGTTTCCCCATAGGTTGGTTGAAAGTTTTTCAGCCAGCCTTTTGCTCAAGGGAGCGTCTTGGAAAAATACTTCTCAGGTGGGTTAAATCTCAGGCAAACAAAATTATTCTTTATTCTTCACTCTAAGCAACAAGCAACTGCAGTGTTCTAGAAGGTTCCTGGCTTTAGCCACAGCAAGAAATGAGAGGAATTCTTAACATTTTAAAACTATGATGTGGCAATTTCTTTGAACATTCTTTTAAAAGGAGGTTGGGTTAAAAAAAAACAAAGATCTTTCAATAGTTTCATTGTTGTACCTGAGCATTCCTTATCCAGCGGATTTACTCTAATTATCTAAATGATTCTAAGGAAGACGATTTCCCTCCAGTAAAGGCATAGCAAAGTGATCATAAGAGAGACATGAATGTAAATTGCTATGGGATGGAAAATTGACTGAATTCTAACAAGTGGCAGCTGCCAACAGAGAGCCTCTGCTGCCTTTTATAAACCAAGGTCTGGCTACATCCCTCTGTCTCCTCCTGATCTTAGGTGTCTGGATATAAGGTGGGCCAGTGTCTGTGACAGGCCTGAGTTTCCCAAGCACTGTGCAGGGTGCGAGCATTGCCTGGCTACCATGATCTCACCCCTGACCGAAACCCATTACCATATTTGGGCATCCTTAATGCTCACTCCATCAATAGAAAATGCATCATAGCAGCAGGGGCAGCAGCCACAGTCAGAGCAAAAGGCAGGAGTAAGGAAGGGAGGGAGACAGAAAGAGGAAGAGAGAAGGGCAGACAGCCAATGACTGAGAGAAATACGCTGAGCCCAACGGAGAGACACACAAAGACTTGACCTACCTACTGGCAGACACACAGGGAATGAAATAGAGGCAGAGAGTTACAGACCAGAGGGAAGAGAAAGAGAAAAGAGAACATAAGGAACGGAGAGAGAGAGACAGAAGGAGACCCCAAATTGATATCTGTGTATCTAGTTACAGTTACATATATAAAAATATATGTGTGTGTATGTGTTCAACCCATTCACACACCAAAAAACCTTGCTGGTCAGTGACCTCGTAGGGTCTCCATTGTGCGTTCCCGCAGAGTTTGGAGGCATTTCTTTGGTTTGGGTGTAGAACATAAGGTATAGTGGGGTCAGCTACGTCCACTCCCCTTCGAGTCTAGGGATCTCGCCTTGGTGTACCTGACAAAGGATCGGGAAGAAAAATCTCTCTTCTCTTGGAAAACTATTTCTCCAGCATTTCTAGCCAAATCATTGACTGATTTACACTTATCAGAATAAATAAACTCTAGATTAGTACTTAGTTCTAAGTTTTCCTTTAATATCAACTCAAATCGTGTCCTCCAAAAGAGATCATGCAGAAACCAAGGTGCCCAGGCCAGAGGCAACCTGCACCCTCGTTAGCTTCTCGGCCTCTCTTCTCCACTGACCCAAGCCCCGCTGGAGGAGGTGAGATATGGTTAAGAACTGAGTGCTTTGGTTCCTTAATTTTGCAGGGACTTTCATCTCACCTATGAGAAGCTCTACGCCACACCCTCCCTCTCCTTCTTAAAAGGTGGTAGATATGAGTTGAAATGAAGGAACTGGTTTTCTTTCTGTCTTTATTTCCATTCCTGGCAAGAAAGGGTTCAATTTTCTGGCATAAATTCTTTTCCTGGATTCATGCCCACCGCCCTGGAAGAGTTTAGCTATCAATCCACTCAAGTTTGATTGATTTGTCATTTTCTGATGCTGGAATGAGTTTGTTAGGGGGAATTTACGAACACATTACCCAACTGGCAAGAGCCTCGAGTGCTTGAGGATTTCCGGAAGAGACACTCCAAGAATCTTCTGTGGCTTTTTTTTTTCCTTAGGATGTGGTTGAGATTTTCACGGTCTATTTGTTATAATGCTTCCCTGACGTAAAATACTCATGCTGCATAAATAAGCTCTCCCTGAAACCCTTTGAATCTTTCCAATCTGGAAGTCTGAGCTTAAGCGCCCTGCTTTAAATACACAGTAGGCAAATTATTCCCTGTAAGAGACGACAAGTTCTTATCGGGCCCAAACAGTTCCTTTTACTATGTGAACCTGTCCTTGGGATGCCTGAGTTCACAGATTTGGTCTTTAGATATTTCGATGCTATGTGGTTGACTGCATAGAAATTAATTATTGGTAGAACTTCTCTTTGGATGATGTTTTCATCCTTGTTTGTCCCATTTAGTGCTTTTTGCTTTGAATTTAGTTTCTGGTACTAATATTCCCCTTCTGCCTATTTGGTAGCATTTACATGGTGTCTTTTTGTTCATCCCCTTATTTTCATCCTCTTAATGTCATGCTGGTTATAAGTGTGTCTCATAAATAGCAGTAGCTTGGTTTATATTGTTTTACCCCATATACGAGCATCTGTCTTTTAAAAGAGGCATTTAACTCATTCACATTTATTGATTTGGATATATTCCTGCCGCTTCATTTCATTTTTATACCTATTCATTTACAGATGTGTTAAGCAAATATTTTCTCTGCTTTCTTGTTGTTTCTCAAATACAGAGTTTTCTTAAGTTACTCTTGCATTGTCTTTGTAACCATGGTGAGCATGGCGATGTTGATGAATAATGCAAGTGCACCTTTTTTTATGCTTTTTTTTTTTTTGGTGAGGAAGAGTAGCCCTGAGCTAACGTGTATTGCAAATCTTCCTCCTTTTTTTTTTTTCTCCCCAAAGCCCCAGTACATAGCTGCATATCCTAATTGTAGGTCATTCTATTTCTTCCATTTGGGATGCCGCCACAGCAAGGCTTGATGAGCAGCGTGTAGGTCCGCGCCCAGGATCTAAACCAGCGAACCTCAGGCTGCCAAAGCAGAGCATGTGAATTTAACCACTTGGCCATGGGACTGACCTCTGGAAGTGCACCTTTTGATGCCGTGTCTTGAAGAAAGAATACTTGTCTTGAAGTTAATGATGGCCAAACTTGGTAAATTGTCTTGACAGTGATTGCCGTCAGAGTCACGCTTAGTTGTGGTGAGTTTTAACTACAATAAAGGTGCTCTGGACTAGTAGTTAGCCTCAGGTTTGAATCCACAACTCCCCCTCCACCCCCCCACCCCCCAAACACATACACACTTGCTATGTGACCATGGATATTTAATTAACCTCTGCACCCACTAATTTCCTCATCTGTAAAAATCCTGGGGTGATTGAGAGGATTAACTGGAGCAACATGGGAAAGCACTTTCCACAATTCTGGGCTTATTGCAGAGTCTTAACAACGTCTATATAAAAATAAAACTCCACCTCTCTTGGTTTGTGGTACATTTCATTTTCGGAGCTGGGGTCTGGTTGGTATGCAGGAAAAAGAGAAGGCATGTGAGCTATGTTATCTGCTTGTCATCACAAGAGGAGCCAAGTGGCAGGCCACGGATTGAAGCGCATCCGGAGCGTTGGGGTGGGCCTTGGAATTCCACAGTGAAGACTCTGAGATAAAGAAGTGCCAAGGGTGGGGGCTGCCCGATGGCTTGGGCTTCTGCTGACGAGGGCCAGGTTCTTATGGGAAGAGAGATGAGGAGGGAATGAGGCTCACAGAGCCACCAAATAAGGAAGGATATCATCTCTCTCCACTTCATCCAAGTGTAGATGTCAGCAAGCGGAGCAACTCACCCCACACCGTCTCAGTACCCCCTAAACATGCTCTTGAAAGGACCCAGGATAAGCTCTGAGCTAAGTGGTACAGTCAGGAAACTCACAAATAAATCAAACATTCCTTTTATTTTTGATATGATTTCTAACGTCTCATTTCTTTTTTCCTTTTCTTTCTTTCCCACTTCATAATTTACCTAGAAAAGAGGACAGCTGTCCTTTGAAGGCAGGAGTTGCTTTAAGCATCACAAGGCTCCTGTGATCCCAGCCCCCTCCCTGCCCCGCCCAGGGCGCTGTGTCCAGGTTGGTGGTTCTGATCTGTTACTAACCCAAACTGACTCCCCAGGGAGCCATTGGGTTGTGGCTCCAGAGGTCATTTCCTTGCCAAACATTCCTTTTCAGTGAGAGGACGTTTTCATCCCCTGGTAAACAATCCCCAGCCCACACAAAGCAGAAAAGGGTGCCTGTCCCTCTCCGTGCTCTCCACTTAGTCCTGAGCTGATTCCAACCCCAGAGGCGTCAGTCGGCTCTATAAATTCCTTTGTGAAACCTGAGATCCCGGGCTCCGAAGGCGAGCAAAGATCTTGGAGGGGTTACAGTTTCCCTCCTCCCTGAAGATCTGCTTGTGTTGGCAGCGGAAGAGCGTGTTTTTCCGAACAGGCTCTTCCCTTTCTTATGTGAATTCAGTTCAGAAAGCACTGCCAGCCTCCTTCCAAGCGGGAGAGGTAAGATCACCTCCCTTGCAGGTCTACACAGGAAAGAGATGACAGGCCTGGGGGAATTTTTCTAGTTAAAAAGGTCTGAACCTCTTTCTCAAACGGTCGCTGTGAGGAAGGGCATGGCTCCATCTAACACGGGGAGACAGGGAGGTGGAGGCTGGGGTCAGCCTGAGCTCCACCTGCCTTTAGTTTCAGTTACTGTGGTTTGTTTAATTGAGAGAGAGAGAGAGAGAGGAAGGGAGGAAGGAGGGGAGGAAGGAAAGAGGGAAGAAAGAACGAAAGAAAGAAAGAGGGATGGAGGCAGAAAAGAAAGGAACGAGGTAGCGAAAGAGTAGAAGAGAGAAGAGAGAAGAGAAAGAGAAAAAGAAAGAGGAAAGACAGACACCTGTATCTAGGTGGCCTTCTGATGAGCCACCAGCAGTGCACACCCCTGGGTCTCTCACCACCGCCCCCGTGTTCTCCTCCATTAACCTCCAGGGCATTTTTGCTTTATTCATATTTTAAGCATTTCTTAATATAGATGTTTCTTCAACTCTAGAATTTGGAAATGAAGTAATGTCGTCAACAGGTAGAACCTCATAAAATTCATCTTTTTAGAACAATATATTGTTTTGGTGGCATTAAAGGAGATCAAATGAACGAGGAGGTCAGCTGTTGCCTTGCTATAAGACTTCCAATTTCACCCATAATGGGGAATCTATCGGATCTCACAATCCTGGAGGTTTAGCAAGGGGTCAGTCAAGATTTCACCTGAACCCAGGGGATGGCTGAACCCATGTGTGCTGACAGATGTGTACATTTTTATACTCTTATCAGGAACATCTTGACATTTCCAGTGGGATCGTGGCAGGTGGTGAGAAAGCAGGTCACCGGTAAGCCCTTCTGGCTGAGTGACTCTTCTTTCCCCAAACCCTGCCCAGCTGGCAGCACCAAAGACAGATGCGCCAGAGACAGCACCGCCCGCAGGAGCCTCCTTCTGTGGCGTTCCTGTGGTTCCCGGGGAGCTCTGAAAACTGCTGACTGGCAGGGCGCTGTGCCAGGCAGACACGCCAGCTCCTGGCTTCTGTCTCCTCCCTCTCTCCCTGACCCCAAGCTGGGGCCGCCTTCTCTTTTGTTTTTTGTCTCATTAAACATATGTTCATTGAGTGCCCGTTATGTGCTGGGACTGTGTTTGGCGTACATCAGTGAGAGAAACAAAGAAACATCCCTTGCTTCGTGGAACTTATGTTCTAAGGTTCCTATTTTACCAAAAGGCTTTATTTATTTACTTTAAAATTTTGAAAAGTACAGGAAAATTGAAAGAATAGCACAATGAGCACCTATACTCTTCACCTAGATTCAATTGTTAATATTTTAACATTGAGTGCTCTCTCTTTTTCTTTCTTATCTTTCTCTCCCTCGGTATATATACCCAACACACACACATACTCTTTTTTGCTGAACCATTTGAAAGCAGGTATCATGTCACCTCACCCCTAAATAATTCAGAATATATCTCCTAAGAATAAGGACATTCTTCCACATTATCGCAAAACCTTCGTTACACATTAGAAAACTATCAAGTCAATAATAGTGTCTAAAATGTAGTCCATATTCAAATTTCCTTAATTGTCCCCAAAATGTATTATATAGCTTTTGTTCTTTGAATTACAAGATCCAACCGAAGTTCATGCATTTTGTTTGAGTCTTATGTCTCTTAGTTTCTTTTTATCTAGAACAATCTTCCCTTTCTTTTTTGTTTGGCTTTTCAAGTCATTGACTTTTTTGAAGAGTCCAACTAGTTGTCTGGTTGAATGTCCAATATTCTGGATTTGTCTGGAACTTGTCTCATGATTGGATTCAGGTTAAACATTTTGGGGAAGAATATTACATAAGTGATGGTGTGTACTTCTTATTGCAACACTTCAGGAAATGCATAATGTCAGGTTGTCCCACAGGAACTGGCTAAATAAACATTTCTTGAATGAATAAATTATATTTATATGATGTATGTACTTTTTTCCCATAGTCTTAGCAAGGTAGAACCTTTAACAATCAATATTCGGAGACTGTGTTAAGAATGGCTTAATTGTTTACTACAACTTCAAGAATATATATGTACATTTACATGTGTATTCATGTAAATCTAGACCCTAGGATGGTGTTCTCAATTCTGGACGGAAATTAGAATCATGCAGAAAGCTTTAAAAAATACTGATATCTGAGCCCTAGCACTTCTCTTCATAAGGTTGGTGGTGCCTGCTGGGTCTCTCCGTTACAAAGATACATTTTGCCCCTTAGTATTTAATATGTCGTCTCTCTGTGATCTTTTAATACTATAAGAATATCCTAACACCCAAAGACCTTTCATAAAATGGTTCTAGTGTTCCCTGATGATCTTTGCTTGAATCAATTATTTCATTTGGGGGTTGTAAAACAGTGAACTTTTAAATTATATCCTTCCATCTACATTAATTAGCTGGCATTCTTCTGCAAAGAAGAGCTTTCCCTTTTCCCTTCCTTTCTTTGTTTATTTTCTTGTTTATGTATTTATATTATTTATTTATTGAGCATCACCATGGACTGAGTAGATTGGTTCCCTCATAAGTTACCATCATTATTCCTTTGGACGCTCCGCGTACCTTGTATTTGGGTAGCAGGAGCCCCTTACAGCTGCTTCTTTGGGCAAGTCCCCATTAGTCCATGACTCCCTCCTTGCTGTCTGGCACAGGATGGTCTAAGCTCATCTTGTACCTTCTCTGGCCTAGACTGAGAATCAACTATTTCTCCAAGGAATGTGAGCATATGTATTTTTGTTTTGAAAGTGACAGAGGAGTAGGAAGAGACAGAAAACATGAAATAATACATATGTGGACATTTACTTTGAAGGGAATGGAGCGCTAGATAGAGCTAGCATATCTTTGTGAAGAAAAATGCTGCAAGGCTTTTAATCTGGGGATGGAGCAATGGCCCGGAAGTAAGGAGACCTGGATTTGGATCCTGACTCGCTGTGTCATCTGGGATGAGCCACGTAACCTCTTCAGGTGTCGTTTGCTCCAATCTGTTTAATTAGGGCTCTAGAGTAGACGGTATTGAAGGCCTTTCTATGTTCCAAAATTCGATGTTCTGAAGAGTTTAACGATACCTAGTTATAAGACGGATTGTGAGACAGTGGAGGGGGGTGGTTCCTATAAAATTTCAGTGGTAGGAACTTCTTCTTTTTCTCCCCTTGATCTAGCAAACCTCATTTTAAAAGGCACTCTTTTTACAATTGTTATTAAAGAAATAAATGTTTTGACGGTAATGATCTTTCCTGAAGCTAGAATGAGACTAAACTGTCGATATCTAGGTACTAGATTCAGATATCTAGAAACTATGCTGCAGTGAGATTTTAAGCATTGGGATGTTTATAAAGGGAGGTTTTAGTGTTTGGAGTAAGAGGGTCCTACCTGCCTGAGCCTGGCCCTTCCTGATGGTCAGGGAATGGACTCAATGACCACTCAGTGCTTTTCCTGGCCCTAAATTTCTCTGCTTCCCAAATAACCCATATGTAAGATGTCTTGCAGCATTTTCTCTTTTATTAGGAAACTCCAAACTACACCAAGAAAATTTTTTCCCAATACTCCTTATTTGAAGTCAGAAATTGCATTTTAAAAATAATTCACCCCTGCTTTAATAAATTGGCTAAAAAGGCTAAATGGATTTTCTTTCTGTGTTTGCAGTCACAGAAGCACTTATCTCTCACCCCAAGTGGGTGTCCTATGTAATTGGATGTGAAGTTATTCCGAAGTTGCGTCAAAATCCTTTCAGAGCGTTACTATGACAATTGGACTTTTTTTTAAAAAACCACTTCAATGCAAACTCTCCATCATCCTACTGTCCATTCAGGGAAATTTCATCTCATGAAGTAAGTTTAGCTTCTCAGAAAGGTTAGGGGCAGGAGGGGGAATCATTGTGCATTCACATTAGCTCATTCTCCCACAAGACCGTTCTTCTCCAAGTTGTAATGGACAGTCCACTCATCCTTATCAAGGTCTCAGAATGTTGATTGTTAAAGACTTTCCCTTTCTAAGACTATGGGAATTAGAACAGGGGTCTAAAAAAGAACTCACTCTTTGAGGAAATAAGAATTTCAATATAAAGTTACTGACCACCCTTCCTGACCGTTTATCGCTATTCTAAATGAATGCCAGCAAAGGCAAGAATTTGGGCACAGATTCTCAGAGAGGGGAGGAAGAGGAAAGACTTATCAAAATCTCTAAAGTCCATGAGGTTTGGAAAAGCCTGTTGAAAATTATAGATGCTTTGATTTGGTTTGGCCCCAAATTGATCTTGATCTTCCTATTCATGTTAACAGAAGGCGTAAGATTTTCATGTTTATCAAATGGGTGCATGTCTTTAAAATGGTTGAAATACACTGGGCTAGTGAAGGCTTTATGGACCATTTCTATTTTAGAGGCTTCGGCAAATCGACTCTGCTGGATGTGATGCTGCAGTCATGAATGTTTATTTCTACCTTTTGATTCAGGGGTTTTGAGACCTCAGTAAAACTTTAGGGCCCCAGAAATCATTTCATTCAAAGCTCTCCTTTGGTAACTTGAGGATTTAAGATTCTAAGAGGTGGAGGACTTGCTCAACTACACACAGGGCAGAGCCAGGACTGAAAGCCAAATTCCCTAATTCCTCATCCCATATCCTTCATACTCCACAACTTCATACATACACAACTGCTACCTTCCTTGACCCTCCTTAGTTTTGTGGCAGAAGTGTGTTATATTGTCTGAAGTTTTCCTTAAATACCTCAGGAAAACTGTGAAAATTCCACAACGGCAGGGGAATTTGTCTCTTGTGAGCATTGTCATACCTCAACTCTGGAAAAATGCCTGACGCGTACATAGTAGGGCCAAATAAATACTGAATGAGTAAATTTTATGTGTTCCCATAGTCTTAGTGGAGGCAGAGCCTTTAACAATCAAAGTTCTGAGACTGGGATAAGGATGGCTTGACTGCCTACTATAACTACAAGAATATATGTATGTATATTTATATACATATTCATTTAAATCTATGCCTGGGATTGGTATTGTCAATGCTGGGCAGAAATTAGAACCAACTGGAGAATTTTTTTAAATCCCAATACCTGGACATTAGAGCAAAGATTCAGATTTCATTTACCTGCATTGAGGCAGGGGAATCAGCATCTTCTAAAAGCTTCACGGATGATTCTAAGGTGTACCCAGCCTTGAGAACCACTGTCCTAGGAAATGTTAGTTCAGTTCTGAGGTGCTCTAACTGGCAAATTACACTTGTGGTTAGTTAACATTTAAAAGATGCTTATGAGCTTCTCATGCTCCAGAGGAGGCTAACATAAGCATTTTAACTATCTCTACATCAAATTAGTACTAGAGGATTTCTTGTTAATTAGCTTTAAAAATAGGACAAATTATTTGTCACGGAGAGGAAGATTCTAGATATTGCGGTTTGGCTAGAAAAGAACATAAGACTTCTATGAGCTGTCAGCTAAATATTTAGCCCCATTATGTCTCAGGCACTTTGCTATGCCCTTTGGTGTCATGGACCCAAAGTGAGTACTGGGCCTTGGTCAGATCCTGTGTTGGGCCATATTTGGAGGTTCCATTGTCTGATTAGACTAGAAAATTAGCTGAAATCTGCTGCTAGAATGTGGTTTCATTTGCCTCAAGTGAACCGTTGATGTTGGACACTGTCCGAGGGCCTAAATGGACAGAGCATTGGCTTCACTGAGTTTAGAGAACAGCCAGTGAGGCTGTGTGTGCCTGTGGGGCGACATGGGTTCATATGTGTGGCAGAATTTGGATAGAGACATATAATTTACCATAACAAGGCACCTGCTGTAAGATGTCGGGGCGAGACCTACAGCTTTCATCTACCCCTACCACTGGAGGCCGCTGACATCGGCAGAGAGGCAGCTTCGACTGTGTTGCTTAGAGCAATTTGTGCTCACTTTCCATCCACAGCCCTGGGTAGAAGAAGAGGACTTTAGTCTTGACCTTCTCCTTTAAGAGGAGATGAAGGCAGATGCCACAATCCTGCTCAAAATGTCCCCAGTACAGTCAGCTTTTCAAATACAGGTGATTCCATGTCTGGTTGTTGGGGGTGGGGAAACAACCTTCATCCTTGTTTGCTTCACTCTTATG